AGACTCAGTCCTTCAAGTCTCTGTAGGTGCTCAATGCCACACTGAAGTCTCATAACCGTTACAGATAGTGTACTCCTACAACTCTTGCTTACAACACATCACTAAACACACGTTTTCCAAAATCAAAGACCCAGATTATTCAGTGAACAAAGAAAGGAATGAATCTATATCAAGCAGTAGGAGCTTGTTCTTGATTTAAAAATTATTTCTATAGCTTAGACTAGTAAAAAGAAAAGATGTTTAAAAATGGATATTCCTTAAATCTTAGACTGCTTTTCAAAAAAAACCTGTTCACTATTCTGAGCACTTTTCTTCTACTGAGAATTTTCAGTGACCTAAATATAAATGAGCACATAGAAAAACATCTCAAAACCAGGGTCAATCATGGAAGTTACTTTTGCCAGCACTAGCTTATGCAGTCCATTACACTTTCTTTCCCCATTAAATTTTATTAAGTCTTGGTATTTTTGTTGGTTTCTGGGTGTCATCAGTTTTAATTACTATTGCTTTTTTGTTGCTGAGTTTGAATATTTTTAATCTATCCCTTTTGTCTCCTCTTACCAAATAAAAGCAAAGAAACTAACTTAATTTTTGTCATAGTATATTTACCATACAGTTGCAATCCTCTATATAAATTAAAAGCAAATTAAAATGTATTTTAAATTAGATGGAAATGCGTAGAAAAAGATAAAGCTGCAGAAACTGAAGCAGGCTAATCATAAACGAAGCTAATAGCCTAGTTACAAAGCTTACCATAAAAAAAACAAAGCCCAAGAATAAACATGAAAGTCTAAACAAAGGAAAAAAACCTGTTCTCTTTTTCAAACAGGCAGTCACACTTAGACCCTTACACACTTCACAATATCTGTACACCTAAAATACAGATACTTGAGGCTGTTGACCTTGGCTTGTTACTTGGCCATTCCTAAGTGCTGTATTATAGGATCGGAGGTCTCAAAATACTACTCCTGAAATTAATAACTACAGGGAGGAAGAAACCGTATCAATCTACTGAAGACTTGGTGGTTGTTTTTTTTTTTTTTTTTTTTTTGGGGGGGGGGGCGGTTAAATATTCAAGATTAGCATAAAGCACATAATCTTATCCCAGATATTAGTGCCATTATTCTTTCATTCTACCCATATTGACAACACTATGTGACCAACCATCAGTAAACATAATATCACTGATTATTGTTTAGAGAGGCCATAAGCTGCAAGGCATAAAGCACTGCTGGCAATGATAGTACCCATAAAAGAACCTTAACAGCTAGCACAAAGTAAGCTGAACTACTGCCAGTAATGTTGGATAACCTTTAAAAAAATATTCAAAGTATAGATAGGACCTAGGTCTATTCCACCAACTGTGTTTAAGGAAGTTACCTGTCTGTAATTTGCTTCTTGACTCTCCATATGATATGAAGCAACAATACAGAAATTCTTTCAACATTGCCAGTGTTCTGTAAGCAATTCAACAACTTAGAAAATGTGTCAAAATCTTAAGTTTTGTCCAAAACCTGAGGTCTGAACCTATGGTGCAAATTAGAGATTTATTTTAAATAATGCCTGTACTTAACAAATGCTAAGTTTTGACAAATACTAAGAAGGTACATCAAATTCCTAACTGGTAGTATACTTCCATTCCTAGCTTAAGCAACCAAAGGTAGAGAGATGGAGAGCGTGGGCGTGGAGAAGGACAGATATCCTGATATCTGCCTGGAACAATCTCTGCCCCCCTTGGAGTTCCTTTGTTTTGCCTTGTTTTGTTTTGAGCTGCAAGAACTCTGCAAATGGGTGTTCCCAGCTTCTGGCAGCCATATGTGCTGCCTACCATCTGTTTTCATTCCACTGTGCTATGGAGACAAACATACTTTATTTTTAGTGTTCTACATTTCCTGATGCTGCACATAATGGGGATTATATCTCACATCTAAGCCACTATATGTGAAAAATCTTCTGTGAATAACTGATCAGTAAAGGCGACAGATTATCACACAGGATCAGATGAGAATTTTCATTACCTAATTCTCAGTGCAAGTATAGAATTTATACTGAAGTTCGCTTGATTCCTGTATACCCGTGCTTTCTCTCTACCCTGCTAACAAGGGGCTTCCTTTGCATGTTTTAAAGATACATTTTCCCAACAACTTCCTGGGGTGTAGGAAATTACTACTACAATTTCGTGGCTTGCCACTAGTGGTTGCTATTCTGCATGCAGCATTTGGAGTCAAAACAGGACATGAAGAAATAAACAGCTGTATAATCAACTGCAGAGAGACAACAGTGCAGTACAAATATTTGTTTGAAAGGAGGAATTCTGTGCACAGGCTCCCACACAGTTCTGTCGGAAACCATGCACTCCAAAATCAGTTTGCGACCATTAATTGGATAGTATAGTATTTATATAAAATTTGATTTAAAAGATGTCACAGTTACATTTCAGTGCAGCTTTGTAAGGCACCCACAGCACACCGGACAGCTAGTAATTCTTTAAAATGCACCAAACTAAAATGAATTCTAGAAAACATTACTAGTTTTACCTATATTGACATTAAGCCATACATTTCTAGTCAACAGTATTTTTTCTTTCCCCATTTAACCTCCCTGTCCTCAAACTTCTAAGAACCTGAGCAAGCACTGACTTTTAGCTACCTATACCCTGATCAACATCTCCTACAACTCAACCAGTATCATAGCATTGCCAACATAACTTAATACCCATACTATTAGAGCACATCGCAGCGCAGATCTTTCCACTATATAATATTGCAAATTCAGGATACTCTAAGTTATTATTAAGCAACTATTGATGAGGAATTACCTCTGGTTTAAAAAAAGAATTAAAAATTCATTAAGAGTTGCACTGAAATAGAGATCAACACAGAAAATTAGCGCCTTTAAAAGGGCTTATGCATGAAGAGATTCAAAATGTTCACTCTTTATAGGGTACTCCAAAAGACACCTGAAGGAGTTCCATTTAACTTTTTCAGATTAGGTCTATTCAGTCTGAGATTTTTACTCTTTAATTCTTTCATAAAATAAGCACTTTTATTCATTGCATGTGATCTTACAAATACAGAAGTACTTCTTGATTAATTAGATTGGCGAGGCATTTTTCAATCTTTTTAATTGATTCAAACATTTTAATAATGGACTTCAACTACTCTACTGTGAGTGAATTATTTTATTAAGTTATCTGCAGCTACTACTCTTCCCCCAGAGATTCTGACAAAAATTGTGAGAAAATTACTTGTCTTACTAAAGAAGTCTCTTTTTCAGCTATCAAAATCATGCAGCAGGAACATTTTTGTTGATTGGTGTCAGTAAGTCTTTTTTTGCCTATTTTCTTCCAACATAGTACACAGATTAGTCTAAAATACTTTTCTGTTGGGCTCCCACTCAAAATCCCAGAACGAGCGTTTAGCTGAAACTAAATACAGGAGGAGTTTTGACTGGAGACTGGCAAATTCACTTTGCATTAGTCAAGTGTAGATGAACATCCTTCCACAGTTCCCTGTCACTATGTTGTTCTGTATTAAGGCAGTGAGACTATCTCTTTCTAACCCCCCTCATAAACTGCCAATTTACATTCTGAAGCAAAGTATATAATCTATCATACATCATTCTGTCACTCCTGAGCTGCCATAATCTACTACTTTTAAAGTTGTCTGTGGTAGAATTTTGATGCTTACGCTCACTGTGCACATGCAGTTTCCTAATAAAAATCTGAATAGTCTTATATTTGCTTAGATTTGTTGAAAAAATCAGCAAACATTTATTTCAATGTAAATTATTTTTGACAATAATTTCAAATCAATACAGTGGTTGGAAGGGTCAGAAAAAAGAAACAAAAAGCTTTAAAAACACTGATCTTGATAACATCACCCCTAATTTTTACTTATTATTTTAAAATAAAACTATAGTTTGAACTTTGCATTATAGTCCTGTAATAGAAAATTTTTGCACAATCCAGCCATAGCCCTCCTCAAATTCCCTGATAAAGACTATATAATCTGAATATTCACTTTATTCACAGCACTGCTACATCTGACATCTCCTGGGTGGCAGTTTTTATTATACTCAATGCAAAGACATTTAAATGCTGCATTAAGAAAAGCTGTATACACTTTTACATCAAATTTGGGAAAAGCATTCAAAACATCTCAAGACAATAGCTTAAAAAGTAATTTCAACCTAAATGCTTAATAATTTTTTTTAAAAGTGGGCAAATTTGAATTTATGTAATTAAAAAGTATTTATAATGAATAATCTATTTTTTCATAGAAAAAAATCTGATGTTCTTACTCAGTTTTAAGTCTCAATTTCATGTCACAGGCCATGACAATTTTAAGTACATAATGAACGCTTCTTTCAAAATTAGTTTATTTTCCTAGCACACCATCATATTTCCAAACATTTCTAGGTATTAAATGCAAAGTTTAATACTTACATACATAACAATATCATTTTAAGATTGCTTCAATATTTATCTTAATTTCAGCTCTTCTGGTTATTACATAAAATTATATTTTTCTCTTAAAATGTCTAAGTCTTCAATTATTCTTTAAAATATTTTAAAATCATCACGAGTATCTGTTGTAAAAGGAAAATGGAATTCAAACTGTTTTTCCAAGGAGCAGATTATAAAACAAAAGCCCAGCAAGCCAACTCCAGAACTCCAAATTAAAATCAATTACAATTGCTTTGTGCTCTTATGATCATGTTTTGCTTCCTAAAAACTGTTTCCTTTCCATCATAAAGTTTAAGAAAAGGGTATTTAATGGTTCAATCCCTTAATTTTAGTGTTTGTTTTTAAAGCGAAGAGGTTTTCATTGTGATGTTTACCTATTCAATACACGTACAGTTTCAAGTTGGATAAAGGGAAGCAGTAGAAGGAAACAAGCTGCCAGCAGGATGAACAGGAACTGCCAACCAAATCTTCATGTTGTATCCATGGTATAACATCTTCAAGGAACCAAAGAACATCTCTTCAGTTCAGGTTCTCAGAGGTCAGTGAGTTTTATAATTATCTCCAAGCAATTTTCTCCACATCCTGCTAAGCTGTCTCTAAACAGCTGTGTGTGTTGCCATGCAGCTTCACCATCCCCTCCATTTAGACTGGCTCCCAACGTAACTTCCGTTGCACCAGAAAAATCTGAATAGGAGCAAAGATTTTTATCTGTTGGAGGAAAAGATAAACAATTCAGTAAGCCACTGCTCCAGGCACCATATAATGCTAGAATGCATGTTAAAAAGGGTAACTTGTAATGAATATTTAAGGATCTCAGTTGCAACTACAAATTCATCTGTCAATCAGTGGCAGAAAAAAAAAAAACCAGCTGCAAATTTTTAGTAAATATTTGTTTAGTGCTCATGCTCAGAGGACCTAGTCAAGATTGAAGCCACGTACATAGAAGCATCTATCCTTCCTAGTAAAACACGCAAATATCTTGCATCCACTTTGTGTTCTTGCTAACCCTGCTCTGTTGCAGGTAGGGCTGTGTATATTAATGGAAGTGGGCTTTGTACCAGGTTTTTTGTACCAATTTTGGTTAAATGCACAGTATTTTCTTGACCTTGCTAAGAAAGACTGAGTTGGAAAAGCCAAAATGCATTTGCATTTCATTTTTAGTATTTGCACTGTGGTCTCTCCAAATAAACTATTTATTTCCAGTTATACCTTTGCTGCATGATGTAATTCATTATTTAAATTCCACACTTACCTCCTATCAGAGTAATTTCTGCCATTGGAGAGCAAAGTCTCCACTTTATTCTTCCACTCTGAAATGTCTGACTGCTTGTCCTAATTGAAATGTTATCTATTTTTAGACCGACTGACTTGCACTCAAACTTCCAGCTGATGGAAGCAGAGGATGACCCCTCTTTTCGGGCTAAATAAACCTGAATGGAAAGAAGACATAGTCAGCATGTCAAAAATTGAGATGATCAACACACACCTAATTCATTGCTGTAACAAGGACACAAAATCTTGAGATAACACACTTTCATTCTTTATGAAGCCTCTGAACCTTTAAAACTGTACATAGTACAATTTTGTGTATAATCTCATTCTGAATCCTTACGTTTATTCCAGTTAGGTAATTGTACATGTTCATAGTCCTTTACTAGGGAACACTAATCTATTTCAACATGCTTTGTAAACTTTAAGCCACAAAAATACCTAAGTTCATCATTTAAAAAAAAAAAAACAACAACACCAAACAACAGACTCCTGTTTTTTATATAAATGCACAGGCCCATACACGGTTTCATTTTGGTTGTTCAGTATTGCTGATGAAGAAAACTGTGTAATCAGAATTTTGGATTCTTCAGATGTGGCTGCTGGCTGCACACCACTTCTCCTAGGACTTGACATGTTAAAGCAACCCGTACATGCTAGCCGTATATAAATCCTGTATTAACACTGTTTGAACTGTTAGAGATTTGCATAATTTAATGTAGTCCCAATGCTGTTCTAAACTTCACCTGGCTGAAGAATCAAGCTCATATGTTAACATCCATTAAAGTTACTATGAACCCTCATAAGAATTTTGTAATAAGCATCCAATGATCCTTTCAAGTCTAGCATCTACTATCAGCAAACAAAGATAATGGACATTACAGATTAAAGAGTCAAAACTGCCATGATCCTTTCAGAATCCTTAGTTAAGAAAATTTATCAAGATTCTGTCGTGTCCAGGCTTCTGATTAATGCTATACTGAATGGACTTAGATAGGTCTTTAGTTTTTCATCTGGAAAGAACAACCCTGAGTAAAATGATAATAAAACACAGTAGTATGTTTTACTAAAGACCCCACCCAAATATAGAAATGTCATTGACAGACCGTAAAACAGAATTTTAGCGTTACTAGGCACCAGGCATAAAAATGTTAATTCTCATGTTTAAGAAAGCTAAAAACCCCCAAAGGTGTGAGGTGTTACATTTTCATAGATAATCTTCAGTGTAACAATTTAACCTGCTTTCATGTGAATATAATCTTAATGTTCATGAAAGTGCTGATCTCCACACAATTTTTTTTTAAGTACCTCAGCTAGTTCTACCAAGAGATTTACCTTGATCAGATCCTACTGAATTGCCATATTTGAGTAAGGAAGCCAAAACACTCCATTAACTACCACATGGTTGAGGTGCACTAACCATAGGCTTTTAGGAATAAAAACTAAAACATTAGCTTGTCTCATCTTCCATTATAATATCCAAGCATTTAATGAGAAAAACAGAAGTTAAAGTTCCCTTTTGTGTCTTTTTGACTGTTCTCTAACTTTCACACCTGGCTACTCTCTTTCCAGTATTATTTGAAAAAACTCTGAATTCAGCGGGGGGAAAAAAAAAAAAGACTCATTCAAATTCTCTTCCACTGGAGCAATTCTACTGGAAAAGAACCTTTTAGAAACCCATGGATTTCAGATCTACAAGTTCTTACACTCTTATCATCACCTATGGTGGTCTGCTTGTTTGAGCCCTGGATGCCAAGTTCTCTCTGGGTAATCTGATTAAATTTGTGTTTTGTACCTGTTTTAGTTTTGCACCATAAAGTCAAGTAACACTGAATAGTAAGAAAATACACAAATATGATGGAGATGGCTACTATGACATTGGCCAAGATGATCATCTACCTGAATCATTTTGATCAACAACATTGCAAAGACAGAATACGTAACTGACGGTTCTTTTCTGTTATTCCTGGGCTAATACCTATAGTTACCTTTACTTGGTTTTTACATTTAAATTCCTTTACATTAATCACATACTGAATAATAAACAAAATATTTCTGTGAAGGCTCCTTTGGCTGGTAAGTTTCTCGGACAGCTGCTGAATCAAACTCCAAACCTTGCAGATCTACTACAGGCATTACAAAAAGAGCATGCAAACCCCAACCAAACTTTCCCTTTGCTGTCTCCCATAATAAAAACAACCCCCAATGAAAAGTCATTTTAGATTCATACACAGACATTGTGCAGGATTCTATTCCTCTAGAACTAACAGGCCTTACTCACAAGCCTGAGACATACCGGGATCTGTAGCTCCTAATTCTCAAGACCATCCTCTCATCCTTTATCTAGAAAAAATGAAGTGCTGTTGAATATAAAGGGTGAAGTCTTTCTGCCTGGTCTTATAGAGCGGTCCCTCCCTGTTTTATCTGATTAGTAGAGATGAGCAGAACAGCAGCCTTTTAACTGGTTTCAGTGCAAAGAACGTTTCTTGCAAAAGTGAGGATAACTGATCATTGGAGACTTCAAGATATAATGTGCTATCAGTTTTTTAGCAGATCCTAGGGAAGCAGAGAACAGTTGTCCCTCATTCTCAGTTTTTGTTACTTCTCTTTTCCTATTAGCCTACCCTGTTGTAACATCTTTTATACTATTCTCCAGTTTCTTTCCTTATTCCTTCTTTTTGATGTAGAATAACCACTTCAAGCTATTCCTCCATCGCATTTTGCAAGCCAGTTATGCATAGACACAGCACAGAAAACCTCAGAAGAGTTATCTACTTAGCTCCATTTCTCATCAATGGGAAGCAAACCATTGCCTAAGCTAGAAGAATGTTTGGCCAGAGACCTTTCAGGCTATTAAAATGACAGGGGAACAAAGCAATAACATGCTATAGTCCCTGACAGGAATGCTCAGTTCCACAGTTGGTAGCTGTTGCGGGAAAAGCTGTTTGCTAGTAAATGACCCTTTCCCATCTTACAGGCTCCAGTTCTCTTCTTAGATGTAGAGCATATGACTCTTCTGCTGCTCAGTGTCCTGACAGATGGGAAGGAGTCTGGGCAGGATATACAATAATCTGGATAACTGACAGTTTTTTGCCTTATTACAGATGGAACTGTAATATTTAGGATGACAAGTTCTTCCTTTGGCTGTGTATCAAAGAGATATGATACACTATAAAGCCATTCTCCAAAACAACAACAAAAAACATTTTTTTTGAGAAAAGCACTGCTTTTCAATAAAGCAGTATTGTGCATTTGCCCAAAAGCGTAAGAAGGAAGCCGTTTTTTTAAAAATTTGGTGCTTTAGCAAGGATTTTAACTATCTGCAGAGAATTCAGCCAACCTTTCTGAAAGACAGGCTAAATTTATTTCCAATTTCTTAAATCATCTGACAATCTTGCCTGAAGCTTAACAGTAATATTTACTAACATCAGCTAAATTCTGTGGGCACCAAGAGAGGCTTTGATGCCAAACACTGGCAAGGGTTTTCTGTTTTATTGGCATTACCATACTTTTACGTAGATTTTATGCTTTTAATAATTGTTATCCTTACCATTTTCCAATCTGTTTCAACCTTTCTCCAAATAGACTCTGCCTTCCAAACACCTGTTTCCCAGCCACTTATTTTTTCATTATTATTTGAAATCCGTGTATAACTATCTTCTACTATATTGTAGGTGAGGTGGAAGAGTTTAGATGTCTTCTCTTTTTCAGATGGAATAAAAATTACCTCTTTTCTTTTCTGAAAAAGGCAAAAAACACAAGCACCTTCATTCCCAAATATATTTCAGTAAGACTATGTTACTTTTAAACAGCATGCCATGGTTTCCCAATTCAGTTTTGCTGCCAACTGAAAAAAATGTAATTTTTAAGAGAGGACAAAAGCATTTCTGCAAAACAGAAGTTTTTAACCAGTTTCCTACAATATACTTGCACCTTCTCCAGAAGGAAGCAGTCATTTCATTTTTAAAATTTTCACATAATTACTTTCAGAAGTAAATTATTAACAAAATAACATAAAATGAGCAAAGTAAGATATTAACATGTTAGGAATATAAGACTTACATGTTGAGTGTATTTCTTGTACAATCAATAAGTAAATGGTTATTCTGAATAGCAAATGTAATTCTGTGATTATCACACACAGGTGCTTGTATAGGAAAGTTTACAAATCAACTTCAAAAAACATAAGGTACAAACTTCATAACTTCACAGTACTACTTTTTTTTTTTTTCAAACAGTTGTCATTGTTCTTATGAGTTTCAGCAAAGCAGAAATTAAATCTTCTAAACTGTGGAGAACTGAAATAAACTCTTCGTTTGTCAAACTTAAACAATCCTATGAAACTCATTAGTTTCACCTAACTGGTTCTATTTAAGATTGTCAGTCATTCTATATGACAGAATCAATACAAAACTGATGTAACAAGTGATGGGGTAAAGTCACACCTTTGCATGCTGGCTCAAGCTAAAGATGGCTATGGTTCTGGGAAACTGTATCTTCACGTAAAATAATTAAAAATAAAACCTTGCTTTTGGAAATCATCAAAAACATTGATATGAAAATCAATTGAGCTTACTGTTTAAGAGATTGTTTCATTTACACAATCCTAATTGCTCCCACATTGTTTTATTAACAAAAATAGTTGGTTGAAGCCTGCTTCTAGGCTTTAAGCAATAGTAACTAATAATACAAACAAATATTTTTTAAGGTTTTCCTGACTGCTTTCAACTGCCTTAAACTTTCTAGTTCTGTCACACTGTAACTAATTAAAAGGAAAAGAAGTACTTTTTATCAATTTGTAAGAGCAAAACACACTTTAGGTCAAGGATTTTGCAAACATTTTTAGACTCAACAACCACCATCAACCCTCAAAAATTTCTTACGGACCTCTACTGAATTCACATCAAACTTGCACCTAATGTTTTTGCGTTTCACTGTTTGAACTAAATTTGTAGGCTACCTACCATAAGTGCTATTCCTCTGCAGACCATAATCATAGAACCTCTAGTTAGCTACCTCTAAGATGGTCACCAGTGCAAAAGTTAAATACCTCTGGACCAATTTCACCTCTGGCTATTCGCCAAGCCATTGAACCTGATGTCCTTCCACCATATTCTCCGGGTTTAGGTGTTTTAGGAGAAATGAATTGAACAAGCTCCACAATTGTTCTTTCCAAAAGCTCTCTTTTTCTATTTTCTGACAAAGATCGTTGTCTCTGAAAATACATTTAAGAAACAAAGTAAAAAATTCAGAAAAATGGTATTTATAGTTCTGCTCTGGAGTGACACCAACAGGGAAAAAAATAATTGAAAAAACAGACTAACATTTGAAGTGTAGACAAACTGTTAGAAACATTCATCTTATACCACATGTGCAAATATAAATCAGTCATAAGTGCATGGTTATTTGACAGCAGTGCTTTTTCTGTGAATTTGCATGCACTAACTATGTGGATTTCTTTTAAAATTAAGGTTTGTGCTATGTTTATAATACATTTGCTTGGATGATAAAACACTTCCATAGCATATTTTATAGCTATTCATATGTATTCTGTACCGTAGCTGTTCTTGATATTATTTGGAGGAAAGAGAAAGCAAGCATAATTATTAGGTCAAATTTTTCTTCTCTAAGATGGAGTGATTTGGCTGGCAAGAGTCTTGGTTTTGTGATTAAGCCCAAACAAAAGATTCCATTGGTGTCTGAAAGAGTTATTTCACAGTGACTGACTGTATCATAAACAAACTATGACATTCATATTTTTGCAGATATGAAAAAACTGAGAAAAACATATCACCTACACTTCCAGGTAAATTAGCGGAAAAGAGAAAGAATTATATAAAATGCTTTCTTTGCCCACATGAATAAAACTATCGACATTTTTTTGGTACACAACTTACAAAAAATTCATTAATAGTGGTTTTGTCTCCATGGTTTTCACATCAAATATACAGAGCTGATATGTGATGCTTGCTTTCTTAACTGTGGATAATTTTCCAAGCCTGTGCAGGTGTAAGTTCAACACTGAGTATGTGAATGATTGCACATCTTTTTTTCTACTTTGGTGATTGCCCAAGACATGCACACTCAGCCCACTAGGACCTGAAACTTCAGGCCAATATGTATTTCACTTATCTCAAAAACAGGCCTGACCCCAGAAAGTTTTGCTATTACAGATCAGAAAAGAGGCATTTGAAAGGGTTTTGTTCCAGCCAACAATGTGGAACTAGATAAAGGAAAGTGGATACAGATAAATGATGAGAAACAGCTCAAGCTGAACAAATTCCAGCTGCCAAATACCAGCTCTAACACAGCAAGGGGGAAATATACATCTGCTTGGGCTGATGGATGACGAGCAGTGACTCCAGCAGTTCCTCATGGAACACCAAGCCTTCCTGAACCTAACGCTTGCCTGGGCACTTTGGGTATCCATACGCAGTACTAGAGATCTCACTCCAGCTCAGAGGAAGTCTGATATGGCTTACCCTAAGTTAGCAATACTAATCCACAATTTTCTTTGAGCTGCTTTGATGTAGGGA